AATGTTTAACATATCTTATATGTTATACATTCCATTGCAAGTAAAATCCAGCCAAAGACCGCTTACCATAAACATTATAATTGTAATTAGTTTCTTTGAAATCCCTAATTTATATCATATCCTTATTCCTTTCTCTCTCCTTGGTTCCTTTTATCCATTTAATATAGAGAAAGAAACTAATTACTTTATAATGTTTTTTAATAACTTTTATATATTTACAGATACCAGGGAGAAGTCGAAAATTGTTTGAAATTTAAGAGGCAATCTATAAAAGAGATTGCATTCGATTCATTTTTTGCAGTTTTATAGTCCCAGGATAACATTTTTTTTATGCAGGTTTCTTTTTTAACTCATAGCTGTAATGGATAGATAGTAGTCTCTTTCTTTCTAAAGAATCGTTAATAAGATATAACTTTATACATCATTGATAATGTTGCTTACGAATTCGCAATATATTTTTTTAAATTTTACATATGTATTATTAAACTTTAAAATAATAAATATCTATTATTCTACTTTGAATATAAATTAATTTTGATCTTACGTTTAATTAGATAAAAATTTTACTCTCGAAGTACCACTGCGCAGGAGCGGTTAAACAATTACATACAAATTGAAATAATACAAAAATGAGAACGTTATAATCTTTAATTTTATGGATTAAGTGGATTATTCACTTTACACACATGCGCAACGTTCGGAAATTTATATAAACAACTTTCAATAAAAGTAAATTGCTAGAGGGTAATGATTCAGTCTAACAGGAGACGTCGAAGAGGACAGTACATAGATCCTATACACGGAGTTTTTAGACAACAATAGATACTTCTATCGATTATTTAACAATTATTTTAATTCTCTAATACACTCTTCTTGTATTTTAGTTTGTTTTAACACATATATAATGGTTAAAATATTACATTATCTATTAACGTATTTTAAATAGAAAATAATTATGATATATTTTTGTTTTATGTTTCTTTAGATGACTTTTTTAAACTTAATTTCGTTACTGTGAGCCAATACATTAACAATGCCAAGCTCAGGGAAACCAAAGGTTTAGGTTTGAATGAGTAGATTAATTTCTACCTCAAAATATGTATTTATTAAATTTACATTATTATTATTATTATCATTGGAGAATCCTTAAAAATACAAGAGTGCTTATAGATAATACATAAATCTAATAATAATACCATTATAATCTCTAATTACAAAAACCATTCTTCATAACATCTTGTCAGTAGATAAAAATAATTATTTACAATAATACTTTCATATATACACACACATATGATTTTGCAAAAAGCAAAAATAATTTGTATAATTTATAAAATACTTAAAATGCAGACAAAATTTTACATTATATAACGATGATGCTTTAGAAACATTTTTTGTTCATAATTTTTCATAATTTTTAGGACATATCCTCAGGATCAACGCTCGTTTTTACAGGTAAATCTTCAGTATTTTGGAATTGCATTAATTTCCTTTCGAGTTCTTTTATTCTCTTACACCGAGAGCGACACAATTGTTTCATAAAAGCTTTTTCTTTTTCTAATTTTTCTATTTGTACATGTTTCTAAATAAAAGATAATTGAGTAGATTTATTTTACTTATTGTTATAAAAAAATTATTACTAGAAAATATAATAGAACAAATATTCATCGCAATCATAAAAAATTAATGTTTACCTCAACAATACCGCTACTAGTTCCACAAAACTGTATCTTACTGCTTGATATAGTTTGAACGTATTGATTTTTCATATTGGTATGTTGATTTTTGCACATGTAACATTCTTTCATATTAATGTCAATCATAGCACATCTAAGTTTCTTTATTTCGCCTTCGAGTTGAATGTTCTGTGAAAAAAAAATAAAAAAAAACAAATATAAGTATTTCAAATCTATTACAGATTTATGAAAAAATGTCATCTGTTGCTGATATAAAGGATCACACACCTTATTTTTAAAAGCCAAAACATTTTCTTCCAAGTCTTTACACTTCTCCTGATATGGAAAACTTTCTCCTTGTACTTGTAATTGTAACGCAGCAATCCTACCATTTTTAGATACCAATTCAAGTTCTAGCTCTTTTATTTGTCTCCTCAAATTTACAAGTTTATCATTATTATTCTCTTCGCTTATACCAGATTCGACGTTAAATTTTAACTGATCTTTTGGTTGAAGTATTCCACATCTAGTGCATTTTGTAATTTTGTCTCGTAAGTTTTGGTTTTCTTCCTTTAAGGTATTTATTTCAGCCTTCAATTTTTCAGGATTATCATCACCAAAATATGAATATACCTTTTCCGTCAAGACATCGTTTTCTCGTATTACTTGCTCTATTTCTTCGTCTAAGTCTTGATTATTCTTTTTCAATGTTTTATTTTCTTCTTCTAATTCTTGATTTTTTCCTTTCAATTCTTCACATTGATGATTTATATATTTTAAATCTGTTTCTTTATCCGACAATAATTCTATCATTTTTTTATTTTCTTCCAGCAAAGATTCATATCGTTCCTTTGTACTTAAATATTCTTTCAATAAATGTTTTTTCTTATCCTTCAATTCTGCTATACAATTATAAGCCCCGTCTAAATTATTTTGCAAAGCTTTATTCTGTTCGAGCAACTCTTCCATGTCCGTTTCTAATTTAATTCTACTATTACTATTTCTAAGTTTTTGTTCCAATTTCGTATTTTTTTCCTCTAATTCAGTATATTGTTTTCTCAATGAATTTAATTCTGTAAGTAGAATAACATTTTGACTGCTCAAATCTGTAAACTGTTTATTTAGTTCTTCATATTTAGTAATTTTTATATTTAATGTTTCCTTCAAATTTTCCAAATGCGTTTCACTGTTTACTTTCAAACTTTCCAATTCTGATTTATATCTATGTATGCTTAATTTTTCTTCTTCAAGTTGTTTCTTTAAAACATCATATTCCGGTGTAATGCTTTCTAACTTTATTTTATATTCGTATAACATGTCAGATTTGTTTTGTAACAGATTGGTAACTTCTAAAATGCGTGCATCTTTATTTTCAATTTCGTAATTCAGTTTGTTACAAGTCTTCGCTAGATGTTCCGCCTCGGTTTTCATTTTTTCTATATATTTATTATTCTCCACAAATTCATCCATTTTCTTACTGAGCATAACATTTAAATTTGTTTCATTTATTTTCAATCTTTCTAATTTCTCAATCAACTTCATATTTTCTCTTTTATACGATTCTACTAATTCAACTAGATCTTTTATTTCGGTAGAAAGTTTAGCAATAGATGCATTTTTATTTTTCATCTCACGATTTAATTCATTATTGATATTCGTAAGATGTTCAATGTCATTTCTTATTTTTTCGGAATTCTTATTACTCTTAGTTAATTCATCTGTTCTCATGTTAAGGATATTCTTTAAATCTTTTTCATTGCTTTCAAAACTTTCTAAATTTTTCATTAATTCTTCATTTTTTATTTTATACATTTCCAAAGTGGAAACCAAATTATCTATTTTTTCTTGATATTCTTTTCTGATTCGTATCGTTTCTATTTCCAATTCAACCTCGTTCACAACTTTTTCCGTTAATATTTCTTCTTTTTTATTTATATCCATTTCCTTTTGTTGTATTTTTATTTCAGACTGTTTATTAAATTCTTTTTGCATATTATTATAATCCATTTCAAGTGATTGAATTTGTTTCATAAGTATCTCTTTTTCATTGTTATTTTCTTTTAATGAATGTTCCATACGAGAAATTTCACTAAGTAATTCATAATGTTTCGTTTCTTGTATTGTAATATTATTTTTTAATGTTTCTATTTCCATTYCTAGTTGTTYCGCCCTTAATCTAATACATTTCTCAGCATTTATACTTTCTTGTCTTTCGTTCTCAAATTTTTCTCTATTGATAGAAAATTGTTCCTGTATGGCATTAATTACTTCCTCTTCTTTCGAAGTAATCATTTCTAAGAACATAGATAAAAGACTGTTTATAGATTTATCGAAGTAATCTTGACTATCTTCAATAGGTTTTAAGCATTTCATTTCGTTAATAATGCAAGCTTTCGCGGAATTTAAATCATCCTTAAGTTTATCATTTTCATTGCTCGACATATTTTCTGTTTCATACTTATCTTCATAAATTTGACTTACGCCAATGCTTTCTTCAACATTTTCCAAGCTGAATAATTTGCTTTTTAAACTGTCATTTTCCTCTTTACATTCATCGATTATTCTGTGCAGATCATTTATAATGGCTTCTTTTTCTTCTATATTTGCTTTTATATTCGTAATTTCATTTTCAAATAATTTGGCATTTTCCTCACTTGCTTCCAATAATAAGTTATTATTTGATATTATTTTGGATAATTCATCGTTTTCAGATTGTAACGTACTTATTTCATTTAAAGATTTTTTAAGATCACATATAATGTTATTCTTTAATTCTTGTAAGTCAATTTTACAATAATCGATATCCTTCTGTAATTTATCAATTTTAGATTTGCCTCTTTTGGCATCTTTTTTTAATGGAGACACGACATTTGTTTCGGTTGTAATAGCATTGCGAAGCCTTTCAGTTTCGTTACATTTTTCTTTATACAAATATGATAATTTGACATGATCGTCCTGTAGTATTTGCATTTCTTTATTTAAAAGAGAAACTTCCTCTTCCACAGAAGTTACATTTATTCCATCCAACAAAGATCCATCGAAAGATGCTTCAGAGATATTTAAAAATGAATCTTCATTAGCTTTATTTTTGAGTACCTCAATGTCTGCGCACTTGCGATTGAAATTTTCTTGCAAATTCTCTAATTTGACGGTTAACATTTTTGTTTTTAATTTTATATCCTTTTTATTTTCATTTAATTCTTTCATTTCAACGCATCGACTACATAAAATTATTTTCAAATCAGCTAATTTTGTATTCAATTCTAAAAGATAATCCATTGTCTCTTTCAAAGTGGTACATTTTTTAAATAAAATATCCAACTTTTCATCTTTCGCTTCTTTACTTGCATCATTAAATGTATTACATGTATAATCTTGAACACTGCCTTCTAAAGTTTCCAAAGATTTTTTAAGAAATATTGTATTTTCCTCTGTTAACAATGTTACTTTCTCTTTTAATTTCATAAATTCAGATTTTAACAGACTATTATTAAATGCTAATTGTTCCATGCTATTTTCATTTCTTTCGATATTATTTTTTGAAGAATAATCTGCAAATGAAGTATCATCTTTCATACTTCTTTCTGTATTTTTTATAGGTTCATTGATATCAGTGACCAAATCAATTAGTTCGGTATTCTTGCAGTCTACGTTTACATGTTTTTCTTTATCCACATTTGATAATTCAATATTTGATATCGACTTATTTATTCTATCCTGATAATTAAGACAACATTTGTCTTCCTTCATATCTTCTTCCTCTGATTGGAAACATTTAATTTGTTCATTAAGAATACGGATTTCATTTAACATATCCTTATTTTCATTTTTCATTTTGGAATTTTGCTCGTGTAAATCATCTATCATTTTCTGAAACGTTTAGAAAATTGTAAATAATTATATATTCAAAAATACTTTTTTATGTAAATTAAAATAAATGATAAATTAAAAAGAGATGATAACGTGTTTAACACTTTCGTTACGACACGCTTTGGTGCAAGTATCATTCCATATAAATTCGCTCGTACATACGGGTTTGTGCATGGACGACCCATATATGGGACGCTAGCAATGTGAAACGGTTGATAATATTACATTTATTTTTTATCATAAAATAAAAAAGTAATTATATTATAATAAAATATCTTACCAAGCAGTCAGCTTTACTTATTTTTTCTGCGTTTAGTTTAGCAGATAATTCTTCATTTTCTGCCGTCAAAAGGAACATAGTTCTTTGTAACTTTTTCATATCTAATTTAAGCCCTACCACGTCGCTTTTAATTTCACTTAATTCTTGAGTTTTCTCATCTAGGTCTGCTACAAGTTCTTCGTTATCAACATTATCGTTAAAACTTTCAGTCAAAAAGATTAACTGTTTTTCCAAATGTTCTTTCATTTTATTATTTTTTGTCATAATAGAGTTAATAAATGTATCCAAATCATGTAACAGGCTTTTTAAATGAATACTTTCGTTAATGAAAGTTGTTATATGATTGTAATCGGTTTCTATTTTTTGTTTATTTAATTCGCTTATAACATATTGCAATTCTTGATCTTGCGGTACAAATATCCCATTCAACTGACGCGATTTCAAAATTTCACATTTTTCTATATTATCCAAATGATTATGTAATTTAACCAAAAGATTTTCGAAATCAAAATTATCAGTTTGTTCATCAATAGAAACGTTCTTGTATTCTTCGTTCATCTCAACAATTATATTTTCCTTTTCTTCCAAAATTGATTTTTTTCGTTGCATATCGACAGACAATTTTACATCAGCTGCTGTCTTAGGACTGCTGTCATTTAATATTTCCTTAATCAAAAAAGGTGACATTTCACATATTTTATTATTTGAATTTAATTGCTCTAATGATTTTCGAGGTTTTATAGGTGAGAATTCTATTAATAGTTTTCCCTGTTCTAATATACTTTCTATCTTTTTTGATTTGCTTAGACTCTTTTCAAATTCAATACTTTCTCCAATACCAATTGACAAGGATTCCTTTTTTACTGAAGATTCTTCTTTAATATCAGATGTTAAACTTAATGGGTTTTCTTTGTAACTCAAATTCTGTTCAAACTCATTTTCATAAATTTTTTCTTTTTCAATTTGTTCATCCATCTCTTCTTTCAGGGAAATTATTTGTTCTTTTAATTCTCTATTCTCTGATTTAAGATGTGACATTTGAATGTCTAATTCAAAGATTTTTTCTAAATTTCGTATCTCATGTTGTTTTATACTTTTCGTTATTTTATTTTGTAACTTAGTTAATATATGTTTAACTTCAATATCTTTAAAAGGTATGTCCAAAGTTGATTCATTTAGAATATGCGATGTGTCATCCAATAAATTTATTTGTATGCTTTCTGTATTTATATTGGTAGTACTTGTGGCATATTTTAATACTTCTGATATTATATTTTTTAATAAATTATTTTCTGTTGTAACATTAATTATTTGTTCTTGCAGATCTGAATTTTGCTCTATCTTGACTTCTTTTTCATCCTATAATAAAGAAATTTGTATATTTAATGTAAAAATAAAAAAAAATAAAGATTTTAAGGAAAAACAATTATACTTACAGCGGAATAACATTGATGATCCTCAATATACACTTGTTTTTCTAATGTTGTGAATTCACAAAGTTTATTAAATTCTTGTTCTAAATATGTTATTCTTTCGCGTAAAACTTTTTTCGGTGTATGAGACTGATCTTCTTCAATATCGCTAAAATAATAGTATATTATTAATTGTTTATTGATATAATATAATTATTCATGATAATTTGTGTTATTACTTTGTCTGATATGATGTATCTTTTTTTATAGATGTACTCTCATAAATATCATAATTTGGTTTATAAATGCTCATATCGTCCATGAATGTTACACGATGTTTATGTCTATCTTTTGTAATAAACACGTCTTTGAGGCTATCGATGGAATCATCATCATCTTCTCTATCTTTTTCATCATTAATTAATTCTAACTCAAAATCCGTGAAAGCTATTTGGAATGCTAAAATTGATAGAATTAATATTAATTAAGACATAATAGAAAAACATGAATATATGTATAAAAATTATAAAGTTACTTACATTGATCCATTAAGTTGACAGTTTGAATAATACTTTTTCTACTAGGCTTTACCGGTGACATTTCTTTTATCGTGGGTAAGCCTTGGCACGGTTGAAAAGTTGATACATTTTGTTTAAATGTAGGTCCTGCCCAAGTTCTTCTTCTTTTAGATCTACACCCAAACGACGAGTCTTCAATATTTGCATTATTCCCAGATACAATTTTGGTCTGTAATAATTCAATTCGTTCTTCCAGAAGTTGATTAATACGATCTTTTTCGTGCAATCTGTTTTCCATTTCTTCAGTTGTTTCTTTTTTAATTTTCTATTAAAACAAGAAGAAAAAAAAATATTCAAACATATTTCATATCTAAGTTACACTTAATACTTTTTTCCTACTTATTGCAATTTTTATTGCTCCTTCTATATCAAGTATATTACTATAATTAGCAATCTGTATTGTTGTTCTAAGACTTCTTTTCAATTGATACGAACCTCTAGCTCACAGTTGAGTTTGGATATTTGTTTGGCATAACGCTTTAAAAGAGTCGCATCAGACATAACTTCATTAATCTGTGGTTTATTTTCGACCTTCTTGGCACGCGACGCAAATCTACGTGTATGTAAAAAAACAAAATTATTGATAACAATTGATATTCAATTTAGTTTTTTTAATTGTTCACCTTATTTTGAAAATCTTTTTTTATAATAAATAATATAAAATATTCTATACGTAATATACTAACGATAATGTATAGTGAGACTCTTCTAATGCGGCAGGTGTTATAGTGCATATCATTGCCGTCTTAGCATTTCCACCTATTGAATTTTGTAGCAATCTCGTTAATTTACTATCTCGAAAATTAACATGTTTTTGTGTATCTTGGGATTCACTTAATTGCTTTATCACTAATCCAAATGCAGAAAGAGACATATTGATAAGTCGACCTTCTTTAAAACGTTCTCCAGTAGTACCTGTTTGACTTGCTCTTTCCGAACCAGCAAAATCTGCTAAATTTAATTGAGACACTTGTATTGCTCCATCTGATTCTGCATCAGTTTTCCGGCTTTCTATAGTCTGTAAAAAAAAAATATATATATATATTTTAAGATTGTAGTAATATCTTTTATTAATAATAAGAGTATGTTATTTAATGTTCTTTTCATGTTCTTTTCATGTTCTTACAATGCGAAATATTGTATGGCTTCTACTACTACGTTCATTCATATCAGTTTCTCCTATTCTCCTATTCTTGTTTCCTTTTTTCATTATCGATAAAACATGTTCAGGGCTGTTGGTTACTTCTTCTTTACATTTTATAACTATTTGTCCATTATCCTCGTGCAATTTTAAATCGGCTGTACTTTTATTTAAGAGATCATTAACTTTTTCATTATAAATTTCAAGATATGATACTCTATAAATAAACAAATATATACATTTAAATTTGTCTTCTCATCTTTATACGTGTTCCATTATCTTTATTATTTTACTATAAATTAACTTTTATAAATATATAAATCACTTGATCACAAATTTATCCTATTTATTAAAAAAATGTACTTTAAATATAAAAAGTTAAGTATTGATCAAGTGGTTTGATAAGACAAATGTATTTTATATTAGGCAGAAACAATGTAAACCTTAATAAAAATTCCCTTCTCAATGTATTAGCAATAGCATCAAACATGTGTTCAATAGCTAACAATATAATTCCAGGTTCATTTAAACCTCCCATCATAGTATACGTCTTTCCAGAACTTGTTTGACCATATGCAATAACTGTTCCATTAAAACCATTTACTGCTGCATCGACRATAGGTTTTACAACGGTATCAAATACATCTTTATTTGAAGTCGATTCATCAAAAATATGATCTAAAAGCATAATATTAAAATTTATTTAGTATTTTCTCTCGTCCAAAATTATAATTTTTAATGATAAAATTTCATAGGRAACTTGGACATGAAAAGAAGTAGAACTTAATTTAATTGAGTTGGACGTTTCGTCCCTTTATTGGGACTTCTTCAGCAACTGGAAAATTTATTTTCTTATACATTTCTTATTACGATACATGCGTTTTATACAATATAATTTTTTATATATTACCTTAATCATTAAAGCTCAGCGTCTTTTTTATTTAATTTCGACATACATTTCTTTTTA